GTGAAGTCACGTGCATAGCAAATACCTAGCTAAGCAAGGAGCCCTGATCTCAAATTCTGTCTCCCACTGCAACAGGCCGCCTCTTCATACCAAAGTCGGAGGCCGCACTGAAATCATACTCTGTACAAACTCTCCTCAAGCCAGGATGCTCTGGCAAACAAACAAAAATGTAATTCGGTCAGAAAGGGGCACGTGGGATTTTCACGGAAAGAAGAAAAACATTCGGCTTCTCGTACGTTTTTTCCTAGCTTATATTTAATCACTCAAATGGACTGTGGCACACCGGGCGACCACTGGTCCTAGATCTAGCTCACCCAAGAGCAGGGAAGAGGTGCAGCCCACACGGATGCTCGAGTGCCAGGTTTAACCACCCCTCATCGGTCCGAAAAACACAACTGGAATACTGTAACACGAAAAGCTATATAAAACCTCAAGTTTCAAAACTGGGCAGAAGTGTGAAAGTTAAGAAGCGACTGGGAAGGAAATCACGTGTATCGTTACTAAAGTCACCAATCTACAACCGCTAGGGGCAACCAAAATAATCAGTTTCAGGTGGTTTTTGAAATAAATCCTTCCCAACGCTCCCTCCAAAACGGCGTTGTGAAGCGTACACTTGGCCCGTTTTTTGGAATGAGTCAACCTCCTGCATGGGAATGGTCCCCACAAGTTCCAGCACCTGCGAGAACAAAGGGGCGGGCGGCGGGGGTGTTGCCCGGAGAATGACAAGAGGCTGCCAAATCGCTTCCGCTCGTCGCACCCCCCGGCTGCTCACAACGACCAACCTCGGGACGAGGGCAGTCGCTCTTGGGGACCCTGCCTCCGACCAAGGGCCGGCCCAGGGGATGTCTTAAAAAAACAAACCCCAAAAAAACAAAACGCGACCCCTTGTTCTCTCGAGGGCCAAAAGGAAGGCAAACCGTGACCCCTCTCTGCGGACCACCAGGGAGGCCAGGAGCCTGCTCTGCTCAGCGCAGGGCAGTTCCGGGCATCGGGGGGCGAGCAGGCGGCGGGCAGGCCGGAAGAGGCCCGCTCGGANTAAGAGGTTTTCTGGGCCTTGAACCTAATTTGCAACTAACTGGAATTTTGTATATGTTATATGCATTTTTTAAAATGTGATCAATTTAACATAATGCCTCCAAGTGTGAGCTGCAAAGTCAAACAAACCTGGAGTAGAATCCATGCTCTATCCTATTTATTAGCTGTGCAATCTAGGAAAAGTTACCTATAAAGATTAACATTAAAAAAACTACTTAATTTCAAATTGAAAAAGTAACGGAGATAATCTTTTCTTTGTATTTAGTTTTATTTTTATAAAATAAAAGCAACACATACCCATCTAAAATATTGAGAACACAAGAAATATAAAAAGAAATACAATCTACCTGAATACATACATCGTCATTTTTAAAAATGAGAAGGCCTGAAACTAATATAATGTTATATATATCTTAATAAAACAATTTTTTTAAAAAACTCCTAAAGCATAGCAGATAAATACAAAATCTTTTATTTAAATTCATCATTGTATTAAACCATGTTCTGGAAAATTCACGACAGAGAGAGGAGAAGGAAGTAGAGAGGGACGGAGGGAGGGAGGAAGAGAGGGAGAAGGAAAGAAAAAGGAAAAGAAAGAAAGGAGGAATATAGTTTACTAGAAATTCTAACTTTCCAAGTATATCTTTTCATGGGCCAGAGAAACTTAAGTAGACTGAATATGTAAAAAGACACATGGGAATCATTTTTAGGTCAAGCCCAAAGCACCTCTGAGTATTGTATTTTTATATGAACTTTTATCCAGAAAGCTATTCTGTCTGCTCATCTCAAAATGAATCAGGACCAACTGGTTTCTCTGCATCCAGACAAGCTCTGCAATTCACAATAGTCTTGCCAAAGTTCTGACTGGATACTAAAGGTAAAATAGCTTTAAAACAATTCAGCTGATTAATTCCATTTCTCAGCAAGCCACAAAAGGAAGGTCGTCTTTCACTCAACAAAAGACACACTGAGCTTTTTTTCTGTGAACAGGGAGGAGGGGGTTTGGACCCAGAAGACAAACACAATTGCCCTCACAAGGAACCTTTACCTAGTCTGAGTAAAAGAAGCAGAGGAAAGAAACAAAACATTTCAAGTTAGGTCTTCTAGTACAGTTTCATGATCTAAAACATTGCAAAACACACAGTTTTAACAACATTCTAATAAGAGACAACATGAAGTCTAAAATCAAATATGTGTATGTTGGTTATCTATATAATCATCTCTAACAGAAAATGGAGAACTGCCTCCGATGCCAGAAAATGAGCAAAGAAATGTCTTACCTTGTTTAATTTCGAGCAACATGATCTAGCATTAATGTAATCACATTCTAAATCAGACAATGTAATTATCTGATGATCAAGATAAGGAATTAGACTTCTTTTATAACAAAGTATTTGTTTTTAAGTTTCAGAAAGCAATCCCAGTTACAAGGCAGAATTAGATTTGACTTGAAAACAATTTAATTATTTCCTTAAAGCTCACTCACTAGAGAACACAATTTTCTCCTGTATGTTGCTTCAACAAATGATTTTCACAAAATAATTCTCAATGTGACCCATAGCAGAACATACATTCTGAATTCCTCAAATGTCAAACAGTGGCTTTAAGAAATGGAAAAGTAGACTTATAAAAACATATTAAATATCAAAACCTGAATTCCCAATAGTAGAAAAACAGTTTCTGATATATCCACAAAATGTCTTTCAAGACTTAAGATATGAAACAAGAAAACAGGATAGAAAACTAAATACAGCGTGGTCATGTTAGCAGTGGTCATGTCTCAAAAGTTGGGATTACAAATTATTTGTTTTCCTAATGCTTTTCTTATTTCCTCAACTTTCCATAGTAAACATACATTATACTGGAAGTAAAAAAAAAAAAAAAAGGTTTTTAGTACAAAATATAAACTCACAAACAAAAATTTGAGGGACAGATACACATAAAAGGAAAAGTCTTCAATTGAATGACAATGCCTGGGATTTACTTTAAAATGTTCCATCACCCTCCCTTCAATACTTGGGAGAGAAATG